GGGTGGAGGGAGGGAGGGAGAGACAATTTAGAGAAATTTGAAGAGGAAGTAACTCTAAAATCTAAAAAAAATAAGACTAAAGTGTAAATAACATGTCTTTTAACACCTAATAATAGAGCAATATAGTAGGTCTAATAAAAATATTTGCAAGACCTGACCCTCTAATCAACTAATTAACAAAGTTAGACTACTAATTCAATAAGTTTCTAAAGTAAATTCAAAATGAAGTGCTTAGGCATAATGTTGAGGCATGTTTTTGGACCCTTAAATGTTAGAACTAGGTGAAACTTCCATCAAAAAAGTTGTAGAGTTCTGTCTTATCTTTTTTAGGACACTAAGAACATCCAATTCCGAGTTTGGGAACTTCAAATATGGCATGTGCAAGACAACATGTCAAAGTAGACAAAAATTATGAAAATTAACCAGAATTTACAATTGAAACCAAAATAGTTCATTAAAATAAATTTCAACCAATTCATCAAGTTAAGATACATTTAAATGTGAAATAAGCTCAATCTAATGTACTAAAATATGCATTAATTATGTACTATCAACCTTATCATCTTATTTCAATGTTCCCTTCATTTCTCTTTGGAGGAGAAGCAACCTAAGGTAGTACTCATTCTCTTTCATGACATGAAGATGTCATTAGTTGAATTAATTCATACTTTCATGGTATCTACATTCAGTTAAACCTTTTATATTATTTGTTATGTCTTTTTACCCATTTTCGATTAGTTATATTTGGCATGAATTAAAACCTAAATCATTCCCTTATAGATCTACCATATTAGGTTCACCTTTCAATTCTCCCCTAAACATTTTAATTTATGAAAATAGTAGCTAAGTGTTTGTATGTATAATTCAATAAAGAGATAATCAAGAGGATAAATATAGAAAACATCAAACTAATTGGATTGACATCAACTATGATTAACAACCAAGCGCCAATCTTAGAACAAAGGAAACTACTCACAAGAAATTATAGTAACAAGATAAAAACAAGAAAAAATATAAACATCAGACTGAAAAGGACCAGAGGATAAAAGATGGTTGTATCCAAAAAGGGATGAATTTGATCATTTTTAAATTTGTCTTAAAACTTTATTGGATTAAAACTTTTCTAAAAGATTTTTAATTGACTCAATTGATTTTAATCAAGCTTGAGATAAGGATGTTGAAATTGGTTATGCAAGATACTATTAAACTATCTTGAATGATGTGTTTTCAATTAAACAAACATATACATGGATGTTTTCTGGATAAAGCAACCAAGAAACAATAAGAAAGGGTAAGAATAACTTGCATAAGATTCATATTTGTTTAGTTACAATCACCGTGACCTATATCTAATCTCCTATCTATGAATTTGGAAGTATAGACTTACGATGTTAAAATATATAATTATCACTCATATTTTGTCTCAAATTTTTATTTTATTTTAATATTGAGAATATTAAAATATTTATTATATAAGTTGAATGATTATATACTATATTTAAATTAATATGCAAGTTGGACTATTGGGCTTTGTAGGTTTTTTTTATAAGCATATTTAAAAGAAATAGGCATTTTTAAAACCTAAACCTAACTTCTTTATTAAATGGGTCAGGCTAAACTAGATTATAAACAAATCATACCATAAGTCTTTATTATGAGTCTAACATATTTTCATCCCAAGTGGTGCTGGTTGTTATCACCACTCTCATTGTCATTGCAGCCATGTGATAATGACAACAACAATAGAAATAATAACATTGTTGATTGCAGTAATGGTACAAAATGGTGTTCATACTACGATAATTTTTTCATAAAAGAGTTATTAGTTGTAAATATAACTTTAAATACAAATTAAATTCTGTCATTATTTTAATAAAAAGGATATTACTTAACTTTATGATCTCTTATAATAAATCATTATTTTAATTAGATATGTTCTCTGTGTGTTTGCGCGTGCTCCAACAAAAAGTTTGAAAAAAAAATGCAACAACACCGGTCCACACTATTGGAAGGAAAACATGAAGTTACATTCTGAAATCCAATTTCACAAATTAAAAACAAATCTAAACACAATCAAACCAAGTTTTCCCTATCAAAATTAGGTTGGAATCAACCTACCATATGATTTATTTTCCATGCCTATTTATAGAATTTTTAGAATCTAGTAATCTTTTATAACAGTGAAATATCTGAGTCTTTGCAAGTGTATATTGTTTGTACGTTGGTTCTTGAAACATGAAAATTCGAAGAAAAAAAATTAACTATACTTTCGGTCATGCAATATACCAATTTTTTTTGTGGTGGTCTTTAGATATAATTTTTTTTTTCAAATAGTATTCATAAATTTTAAAATTTACATTTTAGTCCATGTTATTTTATTTGTCGTTACTATATTTATTTTATTATTTTGGTCTTTATAATATTTTTGTTTATTTTAAGTTAATCCCTTTCAAAAAAATTAATATTTACTAAAAGAACATTATTCATATATTATAAAGACAAGTGAAAAAAAAAACACGGTATATTATAAGAACCAGATCTATATTTAAACAAAAAAAAAAACCACCCTGAAAATTTAAATATTACTCGCTGGTGAAAATTTCAAAAAAAAAAACTTGAAAATGGTAATAGTAGCATATATTTAGATTCTAAACAAAATAATTAAATTTTAAATATTAAATGAAGCTAAAACTTTCAAAGAATTCCATTTAGAACACTCGAATACTTAATTGAAATTTACTAGCTTCAAAACACTAAATTATTAGCGAGTGCGATTCAAGCAAACGATAAATCCAGATGCACACTAAAAATTTCAGTTTTAGTAATCTAATGATATATCGAATCATTAACCATCTTGGTAACGTTGAATAGCTCAGCAAGTATACACTGAACAATAAACAAATTAATGTAAAATTATTATTGTTTCTAGGTTGGTTTTATTCGCAACAATCCCATACCACTTTGCACGGAAGTCAAATAACCATTTAAACAAAAAAAAAATACAGATATTACAGATATGTATTAATACGTAATTGCATATGACAAGGAGAAAGCATTGGCAAAGAATTTCAACTCGGGCATATGTTGGACAAAGTAAACATGTTATCACCGCATTCCATTCGTTGGATCGTTTGGTTTTTTTTATCATCTATTATCTATATTACTAACGCGACATAAAAAACAAAAAGAAATGCTCAGTATGGTTTTTCATAATAACCTGTTTAATAGTTGATGTCTAATACCTTTTTTTTTTTTAATAATGTCTAATAAATCAACTAAACAGTAAACACCCGGAATAAGAATAGTTACAATCATATAAATTTGCGATAGTAAGTAATGGCCGAGAAATGAGTAATCTCACTAATTAGACAATGACGTTACAAAATTATCTAGGGACAACATTAAGCTTGACAAGGCAAATATTGCAGCTTCTGTCACTTAAAGTTAGCAGCCATGATGAAGGCATAGTAATGTTGCTGCAGAAAGCCTGAAAGTACATTTGCTCCCATCCCACATACACCATGGTATGTGAGGATCAAGACTGAATAATCAAAGAAACCACTACCTTCGTTAACTTTTCCAATCCATAGACCAACCACCAATAGCAGGCAGCAACTGTCACCCCAGAGCTACACTTTGGCCTGTACAACTGAGGCATTTTATGACTCAGTAGGAGCATCTTCGCCAGGCAACCCAAATATCCGAAGATTCCGGTCCATTGAACCAACTGCTATGTATTTAGAATCTGGACCAAATTTTACACACGTGGCCTTCCCTGGGAAGAAAAAGTTCAAGTCGCGTCTTAGTAATTGAAGAAACATGAAACCATCAAAACCCTGAATGAATGGGGAATGTTTTTGTTCCGGATACAAAAATGGGGAAAAAATACAAAACCTGTTCCGGATAAATCAGGGAATGTTTTGATACAGTTCCATTCAGATTTCACATTTGCAACTTGATAAACCCTGCATAAATTAACAGGCACTGGAAATCATTTTCAGGTAAAAAAACTGGAGGGATTGACAAATTAAGAAGCTTGAGAAGATTATTTCTTTAACATTCTGAAATTTTCACCAAATCCAGTACTAGACAGTGTTCTTTTCACCTTATGTCAGAGCCAGCAATTGCAAGGTAGGATCCACTGTGATCGAACTCCACTGCAAGATACAGAGAATTAGATGAAATCCTTTGAAATTGGTATAACTTCGTACCCTGAATAGGTTATATGACAATCAAGTGAAAATGAATACCAGAGTTTGTTGGTGTTTCCGAATCGTATGGAGCAAAATTCCTGAAGTTTTTCAATTTACGTAGATCCCAAAGCTTAACGCCATCATGGGCAGAAGTCTGTCAAATTTAAAAGTAAAATCAGAATACTGTAAAAACAATCATTACGTTTATACTAGTTACATTTTCTCACATACCGCAAGGAAGTACCCATTCTCAGAAAAAGATATGGCAGTTACTGGCCCAACATGTCCATCGAACCTAGCAACATTTGCCTACAATCAATGGAAGAAGGTAAAAACACAGAATAACAGTGAATATTAAAATTGAACTTTAAAAAAAGTAAAAGAAACACTGTTTACCTGACTTTTTACATCCCAGATCTTAACAAGAGATTCTGTGGTGCCAGTTCCAAGAATGAGACCATCAGGATGAAAAGCTGCAGATGTGTAGCCTTCAGAAGAACCTGATGAGTCGAAAACCTGCACAACACCATTAATTGTCAGATTAAGAACTTATGTATGAAAGACTAAAAAAAAAAGGTTAAAATCTATTACTTTCTGAAGATAATTTTTACAGAAATATATATATATATATATATATATATATATATATTTCAACATTCTTGAGACACATACATAGAATTTTCGAAGTGCTGTAAAAACCAACTTAGTTTTCACAATCCAGAAAAATAAAATAAGTCCCCACTGTAGAAAAAGGTTCATGTGCATGTATGATTCTTCCCGTTTATTGCATGTATTACAGAAAAATCAAGAGATCATACCTGAGTCAGACATGTCCCTGAAGAAAGTTCATAAAAGCACCACGAGCCATCAAGTGAAGCAGTCACAAAGTAATTATTGGTTGCATGGACAGTGACAGCTTGCACCTGAAAAATTGGAAAGGCAGATCATTCTTGCATCTCATTGCACAAACAAGACAAGTATAATTGACAGGTTCAGAGATGTCATATATTTGGTAGAAGCCTCATCTAAGAACAGCAATCTTAAAGGCAAGCAATTTCATGGTTTATATCAAAGCCTAGCAGTCAAGAATGTCAGGTGTTGAATGGTTGTTAGGACTACAATATTGAAATTATCAGGATTTAGGTAGGAGACAAGGGCAAAATTACATCTGGGGGTTTGAGACAAACTATATTTGGGACTCTAAACACGGGGTCAATTTATGGAAAGGCTGAAATGGAGCCAATCTACATAAAGATACGCATGAATAAAGCCAATCATTGTAAAGAGTCAAAGACAGGCTAAAATGGTGAATCCATGAAAAAAACAAGGTAAGAAAAAGGGCATCAGTGGAAACACAGGCCGAAACATGCAAAATGCATAAAAAAGCTGTAACAAGAGTAAGGGTGTGATGAGAGCTTAAGATGGAATATTCAATTCAACAGTATGGCGCAAAGGAGAGTTCAGGTGCAAACAAAAGCACAAAATATGGTTTTGGTGACAATTGTGTTCCATGAACTTAACACAACAAAGGGATAAACAATTCTAAAGGTGAATAAAACTTGTCTGATACGATGCCATGAAACCAAATATACCAAAAGCTTAAGCTATTAGGTGCAAAATACACAATCCCTAAACTCCAAAAAAATTGAGGAAGAAAACAGAGATTTTGAATAATATTCTCTTGTATATAATATAATGACGTGATGGATGTGATAATGATATGATAAATATGAACAAAAAGATAAAACATTAACTAGTAACAAAAATATTCTCTTGTATATAATATAATGACGTGATGGATGTGATAATGATATGATAAATATGAACAAAAAGATAAAACATTAACTAGTAACACACTCCAATAAATCCTAATCAAATCAAATATTGAAAATAAGTAATATAATGCAAAATGAAAATTGCTCCCAAGAGATCAAGATAATTTAACATATTTTAAGAAATGATAATATTATAAGAAATTTCCAACATATTCTACCAGTTGTATAGCTGTTCACATGAATGAGTGAAATTTTGGATGGATTTGTGATGAATTTGAAGATAATTCAGACTCCAACTCCATTCAATGAGAGGAAGGGGACTCTACACCATTTTTACCATGGTAGCAAGGATGATGTAACTTTAGGTATAATTGTTAGACATCCCACACCGACTAGTGATAAAGCCATCAGAGTGTTTATACATGAAGGACAATCCTCACCTTACAAGTCAGCTTTGTAAGGTTAAGTTAAGCCCCAATTTCACTTTCTTAAGATGGGTATCAAAGCCAGATTTTAATCTTGAGACCTATGGTTACGAGCCCACCACATTTCCAATGTGTAACCCACAGGGAAGTTAAGTTCATAACCTACTTTCTTAAGATAGTACCAAAGCATCTCCTAGTAATTATTGATTGTTGTTGAACTTATTAGACCACCCGAACATTATAAGACCTTTATAAAACCACCCACAAATGTTCAGTCTTATAAACTTCATACCAGTGATACTTGACGAGAGGGGTTTGTATTGGACATCTCACATCGGCTAGTGATGAGGTCAACAAAGTGTATATAAGTGGAGAGTAATACACACCTTACCAGCAAATTTTGTAAGGTTGAGTTAGGCTCCAATTCACTTTTTAAAGAATATTTATACAAGTGAAATTCTTGTAAACCAAGTCAATGGGGATGAATCTATTAGAGTAATCACTTTTTAGCAAGAATATTGCCTTAAAAATCCAGCCCCAAATACTATGCTTGCTTCTTCTTTATTTTACAATTATCAATACAAGAATAAATAAGCTGAAAATTAATATTTTGTTGTGATGATTAGTGATATTGATGAGCACAAATTATGGAAAATAGCTTCCACTAAAATTGATGGAACACTCCAAACTCACATCCCATGATTGTTTATGTGATGAACTTGATATAAGGAGATGTCTTGAGGTGAAATCTCCAAATCCCACTAACAATCTAGGAAGCATGCCAAAGAGTGTTGTCAAGTTGCTTACAAGCATTCAAACTCTTTCCTATGGAGCGGAGTTGAAGAAAACAATAAAATTGCTTGGGTGAGATGGGGAACAGATTGTCTTCCAAAGGAGGTGGTTTGGGCGTGAAGAATCTAGTAATGTTTAACGTCATCTTATTGGCAAAGTGGAAATGAAGAAGTCTCGGTGATAAAAATGCAACTTGGTACAAAATAATTATCCAGAGACATCGACAAATGGACAAGGATAGTACTCTAGGAAATAGGAATTACAAATCAGCATTTGTGGTGGTTGGACTTGAACAAAATTAAAAAAAGTCGACCTAATATTGCACCAAGGTGGTTCTCCAACAATGTGAGAGTGAGAAATGGAGAAAAGACAAAATTTTGGCATGACACTTGGTTAGGGACTTCTCTCAAAGAGGCATTTCCAAGGCTTCTTTTCCTTCTGTCTCAGAGTAACAGGATGCAAACATTGCAGAATTAGGGAAGTGGACAGGAAATACCTAGAAGTGCACATGGTCATGGAGAGATTTTCATTTGGGAGAAAGAGTTACTTCCAGAATTGACAAATCTAGTAGAGACCATTCAATTAAGCAAAAGATGAGACTGACTACTAGGTGTGGCTTGGGGGAAACAAGGAACTTTTACAGCAAAATCAGCATATAATCTTATTGTCAATCAGGTGCAATCTGCACAGATTTAGTCAAATAATTCAGTACAGTTCAAAAAGTTGTTGAGATGTCCAATGCCAAGTAAAGTTAAGGCTTTATCGGAGGCTATGGTTGGATAGATTACCAAAAAAGAAAACTCTATTCAATAGACTTGTGTTGAATGATGCAAGTCTCACATTGTGTCTGTTCTATGAAGAACAATAAGAAATCAATCATTTGTTTTTTGGTGGGTCTGGAAATATATACATGGGTGGGCTGGTTTTGATGTTTTAGCACACACGAGTATGGACACTTCCCTCAACATGAAGGGATGACCGGAGGCAAACGGGAAAAAAAATTGGTATTTAATTTGGCATGCAATGACATGGTCTATGTGGTTGTTGCGTACCAAAATTGTTTTCTCTCAAGACCCTTTGTTTTTACCCAGTTGTTGGATGTTTTATCAAGGTGCAATCCTGGTCTAGGATAAATGCTTTCATCGGTAGAAACTTTGTCCTTTTCAGATTGGTGCAATAATCCTTTGGCTTGTATATCTGTTGCTAGCTTTGCAAAATAACTCCCTATGCTGTCTTTTTTTATAAGGTCGGTCAAGCTTTTAGAGTGGTTAGGGGTGTGCAACATTCATGACATGGGGACAAGCAAAGCCATTGACACAAGTACACTATTAACAGTATGGTCAAAGCTACAATGTGGCCAGGATGATGGAATTACTGTGAAGGAATTTATGCAGGAGAATGACTTGTACTAAGTAAGATAAGGCACAAGTTTAACTCGAGAGCATCCCTTTTGTATCACAATTTTCTTGCTCAGAACAATTGTTTTTCACTCTAGGTTTTTAGTTGGTGGGCATAATGTAGTTCACCTTTATTCATGGACTTGGTATCCCTTGTGCTAATATTAATTTTTACTAGTAGTGAAATCTTCTTTGCTTATCAAAAACAAAATTCTGAATCCTAACAAGATAGAAAATGTATGGAGAATGCATGAATGCAGACAATTGCAACAATGGTGAATTACATAGCCAGAGGGTAAGAAACTAAATAAGTTGTTATCCATTTTTTAAAGCAGGACAAGAAGAGTTCTGGTTGAAGTTTACAAAATTTCAAGAAGTGAAAAATTTGAGGACTTTTCGCAGCCAATTTGGAGAAGGTTAGTTATTTGAGGACTTCTCCACTTGGTTCTGAAGATGGAGTAGTGTTTTAAAGAGATTCTATTATCTTTCACTCTCCTTATGTTTTGCACTCTCTCATCTTCAAAATATTTCGTATTCAACAAAAGAATTGACATCAAGCCATACCATCAAACATGGAAAGATGAAGTTACTGTTCCATGGAAAAATAACCTGTCCAATTCTACAAAATAATATTACATGCCACCAAATCTAATGAAACCACTATCAGACAGCAGAGAGCATGTCCAATCCGACAATATAATCTTACATGCTACCTAGTCTATTGAAATCAGTATCACAATGCAAAGAGCATGGCATATGGCAGCAAGATTATCACCCAAACACTGGGGAACAAGATCAAGGTTGAAGAGGAATTGAGATTAAATAATTTGCAAACATCAAATAATTCCAATCAGAAGCATTTATAATTACTATAGAGACACTGGAAGAATCAAGTAATACACTATGCTCTCATCACTTGACCATATGTTACCCTAAAACTCATGAATAAGCACAGCATAGGCATGACTCAATTACACTAATGAGAAAAAAAACAGAAATTTACATCATAAAAAAATAGGAGAAATTCTTCCAGCTCATTTTACAGCAGAATTAGAAAGCCTACATAGGAATGATGCTAATACACAAAAATATAACTAATTACAGATATAATGTGGTAACATTAGTTTCATTTACCTCAGCGGTATGGTCCTTCAAGACATGCCTGCAGTTGTAGTTACCATCATCAGACACTTGCCATAGACGAACTGTCTGCAAAATAAAGTAAAAACATTGACCACCGGGAAATGCAAAATAAAAAAAGCTTACATGTACGAAAAAAGTTGTAGATTAGAGAAAATTGTGTACTTAACCAATTTGATTCAGAATTTACATTTGCTTGATAACACTAAGTTGAAAGAAGCACATTACTGACTACTAACCAATAACAAGACAAAAAAAACAAATCTCAAAAATGCTAGGCCATAACAAGCCCAACAGAAACACTAGTGTGAAACTTTTGATGAAATTGGATAAAGTTAAACCTTCAAGTATTGGTCTTAGCACCATACTACATATTTTCAGTTTTCTGGGTGCTTTAGAATTCACATTTATAAGTCATATACACCATTTTCTGTTGGTTGAGTATAAAAACCAATAATATCCATTATCAGAAAAAAATGCAGAAGTCAATTGCAAGAGACAAAAAATAAGGAGCGAATTGTGGGTCACAGTTCTCACAACTTCACAAGTAAGTATTAGATATACTTACATTGCAAAAAACAAGCTAAGGAGACTGGAGAAAACAAAGGAAGTGGCAATGTAAGGATGGAACATTTGTGTCATGCATGCTATAAAATGCCTGCTCTTGGGTGGAGAAGGATGATCAATGACCCATTTGGAAGATTTTATTTACAGCTTATTTTGGACCTATAAGCACTTGTGCAAATGTTTGGGAGAGATTATGAAAATAGTCTATTATATGACCAAAAGTTATTTTCAGCTTATTTCAATAAACTACCCAGAATAGCTTATGATAACAGCTTACAGCCTATATAAACAGTTTAACCCTATTTCCCCCTCATTTGTAAAAAAACTTAAACCTAAGTGCTAACATAATAAGTGTCTATTCAATAAGACCTCAATCAAGCTGTTCATCCAAGTAGTGCCCAAATGAAATTGTTTCAACTTCCAAACAATTAAACCTAAGAAAAGGATGGCATTTTACCTTGTCTGCTGAACCAGTTAAGAATGATTCGCCCTGAGCTACAAACTTTACACTGGTCACCTACCAAAAGTACCCATAATCAGCACACGAATCTAAAGAAAAGATCGGTCCAGCAATTCCAATTGAAATAAAACCTTTTTAGAGTGACCACTGAGTGTAGATAATATTTGTCCAGATGGTCGGTCAAAAATAACAGCATTTGTATCAATACCTCCAGTTGCAATTAAGTCCTGTCAATAGAGAATGAGATGAGCATGGATTAGCAGCCATTAATTTTCTATTTAATAAAAAACAAATAGAGCCTTTTTGCATGTTTCCAATTTAGAGATTAAAATCCATACCTTTGAATGAAGGATATCAAGAGATATAATGCCTTGTTTGTTTGTTTTGTGAAAGGGGTGACTAGATATCTGGGTATATGCCTCTAATGCTTCAAGAGGAGCCAAAGTTGAAGGAATCTGAAACAAACCAGAGAAAAATATGCACAAACAAGTGCACACATTCAAATTTACTATTAGAAACACCAAAGAAATAATTGAATTATGCCACCAAAGTTTTCACACATACACACACTATCTATATTACAATTTTAGGAGGCAAGTCAAAACAAGCAAAAAGGAATACTACAAGTTTCATAAATTCTAACTTGTGAAACACTCCATGTAATAATGAGCCCAAAATGAAGGGGTGAGGGGGGGGAGATAGAAACAACTAAGAAAACTTTGAAAAAAATCAATGTGTTTATTCACATATTATCACAAAGAATACCTGTCGCTTCTTCCTCTGCTGGGAAAGAGCAGCATTGCAGTCAGTTAGCTCGGAAATTATGCTAGAAGAAATTCCAGGATGGATTTTCTTTGCACCAGGTGCCAGATCCTCATCCTCAGCAGCTAAATGCAATAAGATAATTCAAATAAACAATTGAAACAAACTGGGAAAATATCCTTAATAAAATGCTAAATCTAAGCTTTTAAACATTTTCATCTATACCATTAATGGGGTAAGTAGCTGCTTTATGAAAGTTATATCAAACATAGCCTAAAAAGTAATTTGAAGAATTGCAATATAAATATATAGAATAAAGAAAACTTTGGCTAAATGATAATGTAGAAACCTCTTTTCCCATTGCTCAGGACAGGCGCACTTGCTGTTATGGCATTCTGTGCAGAAACAGGGAATTGCCTTTCTGCTTGTGCAAGTAAAGACCTAGCTTCATCTCGTTCCTTTTTGAGTCTTGCAATCACTCGACAAGCGGCATCATGCTACAGATTAAAACTAACATAAGTAACGGTAATTCTTGTGGTGGAAAATATAGCGACAAAATAATAACATCATTTTGTGACCAATATCAACCAACGGATCATATTGATAAAAAAATATCATCCAAAAGACTGGAAGTTCAAATATAAAGAGCTAAAATTATTGCACAATAAGTCAAACAAAAGACAATAAATAAATATAAAAAAAAAAACTTATACAGCAATCATATCTGAAGAGTAAATACACCTAAATTTAAACAAGTTATCCTCAACAAAAACAAAAAAAAAAAACAGACCCCCAGGAAAAAAATATCACAAAATTGAGAACCTAAAAAGCTGAGAAGCCTGCAAGTTTTCGAGATTGTAAACACAAGGGCTGAGAAAATGTAAATCAGAAGTAGAACTGTAAAAGACAATAATGTACTACATCAATAACTTTGTTGCTCTTACCTGATATAGAGCATGACTAAGCTCTTGCCTTGCCGTATGCAATTGTTGCTCCAATGCAAAATTAGATAGCATCAACCCATCCCATTCCTATAAATTAGGCAAACCAAATCATCAACGAAGGAGGACTACATAATTTTTTACTCTAATAGAAACAACACTACACTTATCTAAGCATTTCTAATAATTTATTTGGAAATTTTTTAACAGAAAGTCAGAAGCCACCATTAAACTCCTGATTCAATAATGTAAAACATGTAAATAATTTTTTTGAAAAAAAATACACCAAACAGTTTTTAACAAAGTCATCATATACCAAAAATTGTAAGGAATACTTCAAAGGCTAAATTCCATACATTTTGGAACATTCCAAGCATGCCAGGGATGCTAGCTGCCTGAACAGGTCTGGGCTTCACTATCTGCACAATAAATGATCCTGATAAAATCAGTACGTTGCAAGTGAACTCTTGAAAAGCAAAGAACCACATCAAACTTGGGTGGCTTAGTCCAGTCATAAACCTCGTACTCAATATTAAAAACATACAACCAATACCATTAACCACCATACCTTGCCTGTCTTGATTGGTACAATGTCATCCATAGTAAGTGGTTCTCCAGTAATTGGACACTTCCCATAATCCTACTCAATATTTCATTAGCAAATTCAAACATGATCTGTCATAATCACATTAGTAATAATATATGTATATACGAGTTTAGAAAACATAAATACAAAGGATAATCAAATTAAGTACCGCCGCAAAACCCGTCACATAGCAAAAACAGACAACAGACCAAAAAGCCACTTTAAACACATTCCACATGTAACAACTTACAACAAAAAACACCCAACTTTCCATCTATTTAATGCGAAACACAAATACAAACACAAACACAAACAATAGAGAAAACAATCAATAACGGCTGCAACGCTTCAAAATATTCCAAATCAGAAGTCACACACTAGAGCCACTACAAATTCAAATTATATTCCATCCTTTTACAGTCCTATCCTATTAACCTTCACTCACACATAACCTAAGTCCTAACCAAAATGACCAATATAAAATCCGGTTTCTGACATGAGCAAACTGCGGGAAAAAAAATTTTCAAAAAAAAAAAGGATTAAAGGCTAGTTAGGTTAATAACTCAAACAACATGGAATCTGAAATTTCGGTCACGGAGCTGAGAAACAGTTCAAAATTTGATTTAACTTAAAAGGAGTGACAGTTCTTTTCTCCTTTCTCATTGCTCAATTATAACACTTAACCTAACTTAACATCTACTCTATTTCCCCCATTCTTCCTTATTCATTCAGTAAATTGAACAGAAAAAGTTGAAAACAGAGAGAGAAGGGTTACCGAAATGTGTCGCTCAATCAAACGCTTCTCGAAGAGGAGACCGGAGTTCCTGGATACGACGGGCTCTTCCGGAACTTCACCGGAGACTGCAAAGACACAAAAACGACGGCGTAGCGTCAGATCAGCAAAATTGAAAGAAGTGTTGGAAAACGAAAAATCAGAAAGAAAGCATAGTAGCATGCAGCGCAGAATCGGAATCAGAAGAGAAGTGGAAGTAACTGGAGCAATTCATGGTTGCAGCGAGCGAGAGAGAGTGAGAAAGAGAGAGTTAGGGTTTTGGGGTTTTGGGAAGTGTGGGTGTGTGAGAGAGAGGGAAACGGAAATGAACCAAACGAACCACCGCAAATGATTCAGATTTCAGCCATCTTTTATTACAAGTGGATATCCACCCAGCCTGGCCAGGCCCAAATACCCGGTCCATTTCTTGTTTTCCGATCCGGATCCGGATCCACTTATTTCAAATTTATATTTTCATTTTGGTATAACAAGTAAACACTTATTTAAATGGAGGACCCTCGATTTGAGTAAACACTTGTCAAAGTCTAATTGAGTTTAAGTTTTGAATTTGATAAAAAAAAAATTAATATTAAAAATAATAGTTTTAATATAATTAAGATTAATAGATATTTTTATCAATATTATGGTACAAAAATAATTACTTATTCAAATCCATAAATTTAAAAGACATTAGTGTAATACTTGATCAAATTAACAAATTATAAAATTATTTTAGACTAAAAATTGTTAGTTTACACATTTAATGACTAAATTTATAATTTATTAATTTTAAAGATTAATATCATCATGTTTTTCAAATTCAAGAATCAAAATAGATGTTTATTCTTAAGTCAAATTTTAAAAATATATAAGAAATTTATATAAAGGAAAATATTATTATTATTAATAAATAATGATGTTTATTTTTCTATTTAAATAAGATGAATGTAATTTTATAAAAGTTTATTAGATATGTATTGACAACTTAAAGTTATTAATCAATTACAATTCATCGTTGGTGTGACTTTTAATTATTATGTTAGGCCTTTAACTCATATCTATAAGAGAAGGAATTAGGGATGGCAACGAGACTCATAGAGGCAGGTAGTACAATGCCCATTCCCACGCTGTCGAATAAAAATTTATCCTATACTTGCATCATTCCCATATAGGTATATGATAAGTGAGTACTTGCAAATTTTCCAAATACTCATAAATATTTATGGATATCCATAAACATTTATAATTATTTAAAAAAAATTACAAATAAATTTAAGCTTATATATGTTAATTTTATTGAAATATTAAAGATAAAAAATTGACATTAATTTTTAAACTTGTATTTAACGTTAATTTCATTGAAATATTAAAAACAATATTAAAAACGCAAGATAAATATATCAATATTTAACTAGTTTTACTTAGTTGGTACTCACGGATATGGATACTACTATATCTGTCCCACCTCATTTATTCATAGGTAAAAGAATATTTGTATTCGTTGCCAATAGATATCTATTTAGACTATCCATTTATTATCCATGATAAATTTTATTCGTGGATATCCACGAGTTTGGGTTTTTTTAACATCCCAAAGAGGGGTAAAAAAAAAAAGAAGACCGAGCAAGGAAATGTAAAATAGAAGGTATGATATGCATAATAGAATGTGCACACATGGCAAGAGGGCATTAGAGTGAAATATTCTACCATGATGGGAAAGATAGTGGAGGACATGTTATAGGATGGGAGTGTAACAAAGGGGGACGATGAGGAGTTAAAAGGGTGAGGAATTGGTAAGCATTTGCCCATGTGATAGGGGTTGCACCTTGTAGCTTTGGTTATCTTTTTTATGCATTATTATTCTTGTTTTACCTATTTCTTTTTCTAACTCGAGTTATATTGCTATATTGTAAAGGAGTTAATGTCCTATAATTTCAGTTATTTTCTTTAATATATTATCAATTCCTACCATATTCATTATGAAAGTAAGCAAATCCAACATATATAATTTTATGATTGAAGTGTAAAACTATTTTATACTTTATCAATACATGACATGTTTTCTCTTTCTATTACAAATAAGATTTACCAACCTTTGTTTTTTTTTTTTGTCAAAAACAAAATCAAAGATTAACAACAAAAAGGAAAAGAACTAAAAAGTAATTTGTTCCACAAGTTGATTTATTAGTCTTTACGAAGAATAACAACTTGAAAATGGATCTTATGATTAAATAAAATTGTCTAAAAGTAAATGAAAAAAAAGAATTATGACATTCTCTACCCCGCATACCATAAATACATAATTAATAAAATTTGAGTAACTTAATCTTTCATTATTGTATCACCCCAATTTTTTTTAAAAAGGTATTTTAGTATTTTCACATTAGTTATTGTATTCAATGTTAGTAAAACGTTTATTGTCAATTATTTTGCATACCAATAAAGATCTTTATTAGGGATGGCAATGGGGTCTCATGGGGGCGGGTAATAGTAAACCCGCTCCCGCCTTGTTGAATGAAAATTGGCCCCATACCCACCCCATATCCGTGCGAGTATCCATTAAGCGAGTATCCATGAATTTCTTGAATATCCACAGATATCCATGGATATTTATAAATTTTTTAAGAAATTAAAAAAATTATATTACAAATAATTTTAATTTTATATTTAATGTCATTGAAATATTAAAAATAAAAATTTAATGTTAATTTTGAATTTGTATTTAACTTTAATTTTGTTGAAATAATAATAAAATTGCAATATAATCAATAACTTAAAATACACCAATTTGACAAGTAAGTTAAAGTCTCATCACAAAGTTACAATAATTCAATCTCATAATTCCAAACAAAAGTAAATAACTTAAAGTACATAAATCTTATTGGTCCAATCAAAGCTAGAAAATTAATCAAATTACATCTAACATAATTTTATAACATGCTTAACACATGTTAGTAACTTTATCAACCTCACTTTTGTAAGAAAATAAGATGAGAGAGTGTAGTTTTAGGGCTATGTACGTGGTATAAGTATAATTAAGATATTTAAGAAATAATATTAAACGGGTATCCGCGTGTATGAATATCATCATACCCGCTCTCGTCCCATTTATAAACAGGTAAAAAATTGTCCGTCCCCATTATCCGCGGGTACTCAATTAGCCTATCCATTTATTATCCGTAGCGGATTTTATCTGTAAGTACCCACGGGTGCGGGTATTTTTGAACGAATTCACCTGGAATTCTTGAACAAATCTTTATCTTCCCCTTTCAAGAATATGATGATGATTATCTTCTCACAAGCTTTTCACAAACGTTTTCACTCTTGGATTTCACAAAGAAAACTCTCCAAGATGTCACAAAGACTCCACAAAACGTTTTTCACAAATTGATTATCAGTTCTAACTCTTGTCTGAAGTTTCTCAAAGTTCAAACTATTTATAAAAGTTTCAGA